AATATGACTTTTTAAAATGTGATCAAATGCAAATATTGATACTTTTCATAGACTGTATTATAACGTAAGAGGTCCTCGCAAAGATCATTTTATGCCACGAGATGAAAGACACAATGTCAAAACACAGGTCATAAAGCCCAGGATGTGCACGTGAAAAACCAGAGAAATAAAAATAAATTATAGAAATTTTCATGGAGATTGAACATGCAGAATAGAAATGCACCAAACAAAGGTTTCAACACCAATGTGTAGAGGCTATTACATAAACCAAGAAAATTAATACAGCAAAGGGAAAGAAATTGTACATATCCAAGGTAAAGAGATATTTTTAGGTAAAGAAATGGGTAAAGTACATGAAGGTTTTAAATGTAAAGTCAAAGTTTTAGAAAGTTGGGCAAAGAATTAAATAAATGCACGCATAATATTTATTTAATATTTTCCTGCTACTTTCCAACAGAATCATTTTTATATACGTTTATGAAATTCAACTCCAAAATTGGAATAAATAAGTGAGGAGAAGATGGCAAAACCTAAACAGAGTTGATCAAACTAAAATACTAATGTTAAAGGAAAAGAAACCAAATTTACTATAAATCATGGTCAGTTTAAATTACAATTTGATGGGTTATTAAAATGCTTAAAGAAAACATTAAGACACGTGGGCAAGAGTGGGCATGAAAAGGTTTTTTTTTCCCTAGAGACATTTTAATAGTAATATTTGTTCTGACAGGAACTGATTATACAAATTTTATAGCTGAATGAACATATGTGGTTTGGTTTGAGAACGTGTGACCTGTCACAGAGAATGGGGAAAGGAACCTAAGCAAAAAGTGTAATAATAATAGTGTAATAATAGTGTTGTACAGTCATTCTTAAATTGGGTTTCTAGACCCTCCACAAATGCAGTGATGAATGAATAATTTTAAACACAGTACTCTAAAAAGAATATAAGAAGTCAATGACGAAGCTATTCAGACCAACCTAACAGTCTGATTGAAAATTATGCTTTTGATTTTTTTAAATGAAAATGAGAAAAATCTGCATCACTTTCTTTTATCTCTCACTCTTGCAGCCATGGGACCTGTGCTCTTGATGCAGTGTTAGCACATGAACATTACTACAGGCTCTGCATTCTAGGGACCCATGACAAGAGAAACAACATAGCTAAAATATGGTCCTTGTACACACTAATAAAGTGTACAAATGGTGGTAATATTGATTAAACAAAAAGAGAGAAGGCAATGACAAACACTTAGGAATAAGATAGGAGCTATCACTAAAGACTGTGGAAATTTGAAAAATAAGAAAAAAATATTATGCTGCTAAATTTGAAAACTCAAGATAGGGAAGGATATCTTAAACAAGATACCAAATGCACAAAATATAAAGAAAAAGATTAATCCGTGGAAATTTGAAAAATAAGAAAAAAATATTATGCTGCTAAATTTGAAAACTCAAGATAGGGAAGGATTTCTTAAACAAGATACCAAATGCACAAAATATAAAGAAAAAGATTAATAAATTTAACTTTATTAAACCTAAAAACTTCTCTTCATCAAAAGACTGTATAAGCCAAGCCACTGACTGAGTGAGGGATTATGTTTGAAATGTACAGAACTGACTATTGATCCAGAATTCCTAAAATCCTACAAATCAATTATGAGGGGAAAAAAAGAGTCTCATTGAAAAATGAGCAAGTGACATGGACAGGAAATTAACATAAGAAAAAATCCAAATGGCCAATAAATATGTAGTAAGCTACCGCACAATTTAAATAACCACTTCATATCCATCAGATTGCCAAAATTTAAAAGTCTGACAATACCAAGTGTTGTTGAAGTTATGTAGCTGTAAGAACTCTCATACTCTTCTCAATGGGAGTATACATTGGTACAACAGATTTGAGAGCAATTTGGCACCATCTAGTAAAGTTAAGCGTGGGTGAATTCTATGACCCAGCAACACCATTTCTAAGTATGTATCCTAGAAAAATCCTGAACAAGGAAACAGATGCAAGAATGTACATTGCAGCATTAGATCTTCATAGTGACTATCCATGTGGAAGAAAGAAGAGATAAGAGTTTAATGAGAGATACATAGTGGCCCTCAATTTACCTGTAAGGTTTTATTTTTT